CGCCTCTAGGAGGGTATTCATACTTTAAAGGCGCATAACTCAAAAACTACAGTAGCTAAAAAAAAGATGTCGACTACGAAAATGTTTAGAATTTTATTTTTCACATTTTTGTAGTTTACGGTTTCTTGACAGGTACTGTAGATTTTGAGTTATGCGCCTTTAAAATATGTGTACCCTTTTTAGAGGCGCAGACAGCTAGGCACTCTCGTTTCTCTGCGTCTCCTACCCCTTTTTTGTAATTTTTAATACCTTAAGTTTTTCTAATTGTTCAAACGTTTGGAAAATGTAAAAATTGTCGGAAAACAAAGAAGGGGAAAATAGAAACGCAGAGAAACAAGACTGCCTACCTGTCTGCGTCTCTCAGGGGGGGGGGGGGTATGCATAATTTAAAAGCGCATAACTCAAAAACTACATTAGCTAGAAAAAAGTTGTCAACTAAAAAACTGTTGGAAATTCAATTTTACACATTTTTGTAGTTGACAACTTTTTGATAGTTACAGTAGTTTTTGATTTATGGGTCTCGAAAGTTAGCATACCACTCCCCGCTAGGGGGGGGGAGGGTGCAGACAACTAGACACACTCGTTTCTCTGCGTCTACCCCATTTTAAAGTTTTTCAAAGTTTTCAATATTTTAAACGTTCAAAAAATGTAGTTTTTCCTGAAAAACATGGGAAAACTTGATCCAAAAATGTAATCTGATACCTCCTATTCCTTAGGCTCCGCCCACTTTCTTTTCGGTTTCTCACTGATATATGATATTTAATATCAGAAAAGAGCTGAGCAATGATTCTGTTTGCTCTTCACACTTTTTTTGTGGAGTACCTAAAGAAAATGCCCTCTACTTACATAAGAAAGCACTTGAAAAAATCGAAGGAGCGGCAAAAAGTGGTCGGATTGATTGAAATACAGTGCTCCAAAGACGGCATTATCAACGAGCGGAGCACTTGGAAAATCTGAAAGTTTCGACAAATTTTTCGCGCTGTAATCGATAGATTTTGAGTTGAAAAAAGCGGAAAATCGCTGAAATTCGCCAGTTTTAGAACTTGGTGACTTTAAAGGCGCATTTCTCTGAAACTACAGTAGCTATCTAAAAACTATAAACTACAAAAAATGTAAAATAAAATTTTACACACTTTTGCAGTTGACAACTTTTTTCTAGCTACAGTAGTTTTTGAGTTATGAGCCTTTAAAGTTAGCACACACCTTTGAGTGGCGCAGGCAGCTAGACGCTCTCGTTTCTCTGCGTCTCTATTTCTCTTTTTTTTGTTTCTGGCTTCTCTGCTTCTCTAGGCCTAGAAAAAATTTAAAAAATTAGGTCATGACCTAGAAAAAATTAGGTCATGACCTAGAAAAAATTAGGTCATGACCTAGAAAAATTAGATCATGACCTAGAAAAAATTAGGTCATGACCTAGAAAAAATTAGGTCGTGACCTAGAAAAAATTAGGTCATGACCTAGAAAAAATTAGGTCGTGACCTAGAAAAAATTAGGTCATGACCTAAAAAAAATTAGGTCATGACCTAGAAAAAATTAGGTCGTGACCTAAAAAAAATTAGGTCATGACCTAAAAAAAATTAGGTCATGACCTAGAAAAAAATTAGGCCATGACCTAGAAAAAAATTAGGCCATGACCTAGAAAAAATTAGGTCATGACCTAGAAAAAATTAGGTCGTGCCCTAGAAAAAATTAGGTCGTGACCTAGAAAAAATTAGGCCATGACCTAAAAAAAATTAGGTCATGACCTAGAAAAAATTAGGTCGTGACCTAAAAAAATTAGGTCCTAGATTTCTATTTTTTGCGATTTCCAGGCACTAGCCGTCGTGAAAAGGCGTACAGCAACTTTAAAGGCGCATAACTCAAAAACTACGGTAGTTCGGCTAAAAAAACTACGGTAGTTCGGCTAGAAACTACGGTAGTTCGGCTAGAAAAAATTAGGTCGTGACCTAGAAAAAATTAGGTCATGACCTAAAAAAAATTAGGTCGTGACCTAGAAAAAATTAGGTCGTGACCTAGAAAAAATTAGGCCATGACCTAAAAAAAATTAGGTCATGACCTAGAAAAAATTAGGTCGTGACCTAAAAAAATTAGGTCCTAGATTTCTATTTTTTGCGATTTCCAGGCACTAGCCGTCGTGAAAAGGCGTACAGCAACTTTAAAGGCGCATAACTCAAAAACTACGGTAGTTCGGCTAAAATTGTCAACTACGAAAATGTGTGAAATTTTATTTTACACATTTTAATAGTTTACAACATTTTTCTAGCTACCATAGTTTCAGAGATATGCGCCTTTAAAAATGACGCATCCAAAAATATAAAGATCAGTGACAAAAAAAATGGGTGATGATTTTTTTTGTTAATTGACACATTTTTTGTGTCCATTGAATAAATATAAAAATCATAGAGCAATAAGATCAAAATTTTTTTGAAAAATTTCAAAAAAAAAAAATTAATTTCAGACAAAAAATTTTTTCAGATTTTTTTAAATTCCAAAAATCTGAAAATTGAGTAAGTTCTAAGCTAAAAAATGACGATAATTCCGAAAATTTTGGTTGAAAACTCACCAAATGAGCCCAAAAATACTTGGGAGCTCTCAATTCCGGCTCATTATTCCTCACGATTCTTGTGTAGACTGGAATGAGCAACCAGAAAGCCAGAAGGGGTAAGGCAGCGATTCCATCGCGGAAGAGAAGGCAATAGGGTTCCTGAATATTACATTTTTGAAATTGGCTCAAAAACAAGTCAAAAATCATGGAAATCGATGAATTTGACCCTAGGAACGTCCAAAATGGTTTCTCCTTTTTTAAAGACGCACAACTCAAAAACTACAGTACCTAGAAAAAAGTTAACAACTACAAAAAGGTTGGGAATTAAATTTGCAACATTTTTGCAGTTGACAACTTTAGTCTAACTACTGTAGTTTTTGAGTTATGCGCCTTTAAAGTTACCTTAGGAGCCTTCCAGGATGGTCGCCTACTTTAAAGGCGCATAACTCGAAAACTACAGTACCTATTAAAGAGTTGTAAACTACAAAAATATGTAAAATTCAGTTTCCAACATTTTTTTACAACTTTTGTCTTGCTACTGTAGTTTTTGAGATATGCGCCTTTAAAGTAAGCGTGCCGCCTCCCCCTCACTCCTTCGTTAGGTGATAGG